GATCTCTTGACCTCGTGATCCACCCGCCTCAGCCTCCCAAAGTGCTGGGATTACAGGCTTGAGCCACCGCGCCCGGCCTATATAAGTATTTTTAGAATAACTTAGATCGTCTGAGTACCCCACTGCCCAGTGCATGAGTGTGATAGTTGTCAGGATATACACTCTTACTGACCAAAGTCTACACTCTACCCAAGTTTGCTGGGTTTCCTCCAATGCCCTTTCTTGACCCAGGGCTTCATCAGGGACCCCACGTGGCATCAGGCGTGGCATTTCCTTGGCTCCTGGGACTGTGGCTGTTTCTCAGGTGGTCCTGTTTCTGACGCCCTGCACAGTTCTGAGGCAGGACTTACTATCGAACATTGCTCATTAGGGGTTTTGCTTGTGGATTGTTTTATAGGGTCAGGGACAGCAGAATGCCTCCTGTCCCATGTGCCAGCCTGGGTCACGTGTTAGCTGCCCTGGACTCCTCCCGGGAGGAACAGTGAAGCCAGCCCGAGGGATTCTGGTGGCTGTTCGCTTTAGTGCTGCTGGTGGGGGATGGGATGGGGACTGCAGCTGAGATCAGTGGGGGCCAAGAGGGATGGATGGTCCTGGGGCTGCTGGGACAGGGCCCCTGCTGTTCCGGCTCTTGCCTATGTTTTTTTTTTTTTTTTTTTTTTTAGACAGAGTCTTGCTCTGTTCCACAGGGTGGAGTGCAATGGTGCAATCTCAGCCTTCTACGACCTCCACCTCCTGGGTTCAAGCGATTCTTCTGCCTCATATTCCCGAGTAGCTGAGATTGCAGGTGCCCACCACCACACCCAACTAATTTTTGTACTTTTAGTAGAGGTGGGGTTTCACCATGTTGGCCAGGCTGGTCTCAAACTCCTGACCTCAGGTGATCCGCCTGCCTCAGCCTCCTAGAGTTTTGAGATTATAGGCGTGAGCCACCGCGCCTGGCCCCTATGGGGGTCTTCCTGTTCATGTTCTGTGTGACCTACAGGATGGTGATACCGTGTGACTGCTGGGGCTCCTGGGCCGCTGACTCACAGACGGGCTGGCCATTAGACGGTGGGCTCTCAGGCAGCTTCACCCATGTGCAGGAGAACCAAGGCCTCCCACCCATGCCTTGTGCCAAGTGAGGCTCCTCAGACCCCCAGCCCCGTTTGAGCCTTTGGATGACGCGGACCCCACCAGCAGTGGGACTGCAGCCCCACGAGCTGCCCCACAAGCCCCTGGCTGGGCTGCTCTGATCTCAGACCCACAGACACTGTGTGAAGAATGCTTCCAGCTTCCAGGTTTTGAGGTGGCGTTCTGTCGCTAAGGGGGTTGATGGATGGGCTGAGTGGATAGAAAGGTGAGGTGGGTGGGGAGGAGAGGAATCGCGTTCAGGAACTCAGGGCCCTGGAGGACACCCTTGAGGCAGGGAACACGGAGGAGCCCCTGCAGGATGTGAGCAGAGGGCAGGCGGCAGTGCCAGAAACAGCTGGGGCCAGCAAGAGGGGACGGGTCCAGAGCTGGGCGAGAGCGGGAGTAGCGAAGGCGAGGAGGGGCGTGAGGCTGGCATGGGGAGGGAGGCAGACAGGCACAAGAACCCGAGCAGGCTGGGTGCGGTGGCTCACGCCTGTCGTCCCAGCACTTTGGAGGTCAAGGTGGGAGGATCATTTCGCCTGGGTAACATAGCAAGGCCCCATCTCTATAAAAAGCACAAAAATTAGCCGTGCGTGCTGGTACACACCTGTGGTCCCAGCTCCCTGGGGGACTGAGGTGAGAGGATTGCTTGAGGCTGGAGGTCAAGGCTGTAGTGAGCCATGTTTGCACCACGGCACTCCAGCATTGGCGATGGCCAGACCGTGTCTCCAAAAAAAACCAAAAAAACACAGCAAAACAGAAAATGCGCCGGGCATTGGGGCCGTGAGAGTGAGGTTTCTGTGGTTTGGAATTCTTGCCACGTGGACGAGATGCACTACGCGGGGACACCAAGGCCTCCCTGCTGGAAGTGGTCAGACAGGTGCGGCTGTGCCAGTGAGGGGGACCCCAACTCCCTCACACTGCCAGGGTGGCGACAAATGAGACCCACTTCAGGAAAGGCATCGGCAGGGACACAGGGGTGCCTGCAGCTCGGTGAAGCAGGTTGGGGAGTGTGGGCTGGGCAGGGAGGCATCTGGCAGAAGTGCCCATAACTCTGAGACCAAGCCAGAGAGGGAAGAGGCGGGGGCCAGGGGAAGGGCCCCATGGTGTGTGGACAGCAGTTTTCCAGGGGCACCAGGCCATGTCTGCGGACATCTGAGGCCATCTCAACAGCTGAGGCGGAAGCTCCTGGCATGGAGTGCGAGGCGGCCAGAGACACTGCTCAGCACCCGGCAGGACCCAGGTCCAATGTCCTCCATGCCCAGGTGGGAGCCACAGGGTCAGCTAGCTGTCAGGAGACGGGCAGAATGTGCAGGCTCCTGCAAGCAGGGGTCCTGGCGTCTCCCCTCGTGTGCACATGGAGTCCAGTATGCCTTCCTGGGACTCTGGAAGCAGTTGAGCCCCGCCTGCCATGCTGTGGGGAGGACCAGACCAGGACCCCCCCCCACTGGCATCCTGAGAGCCCCGGCACACCCAGGACCCCCCCCACTGGCGTCCTGAGAGCCCCGGCACACCCAGGACCCCCCCCCACTGGCGTCCTGAGAGCCCCGGCACACCCAGGACCCCCCCC